TGTACAAACTCCAAATGTCTGAGAATCAGCACAGCTCCGACATCATATTAACCTCCCTGCGAACTGAAGGGCAGATGATGAAGACGTCACAATAGCCCCCCATCATAGACTGAGTCCGATTAGTCTTAATCACAGCAGGAATATTAATGCTGGCTCCAAAGTATCAATAAATCATGAGTTATGCTGAGGGTGGCTGCTGAATTTGAATTATATCTTCATGCATAATTTGATTTTCCTAAACAGCTGCTCAGGGTAATGTGGAGGACTTTATGCGAGTGTGATGAAGTAAGCTCTGAAGAATCCAACTGCGGGAGGAGGAGGAAGAGATGTAAGGATGAAGAGTGACTGGGAAATGGAGGGAATTTAATTGCCTGTTTTTAATGAAGAGACAGAGCAAAGCTGTCAGTGTGATGTTACTGATTCTGCCTGAATGAAGAGCATGGTTTCATTTTTTAAACGAGAAAGGAGATRGAAAAGCGCCTGGTCAAATTCACAAATTACCCTCCTGACTTCAAAAACAAATTTCATGTGTTCACTTAGAGCTTAGATTATGTATTTGATATGAATCACAGYAGTAGTGGGCACAGCTAACCAAAAACTAATTTGCTAAACAAGAGTCTTAGCTCCGCTGATGCTGAACAGATAAAAATCAGTGGGAGCTAATGCTAACCACTAAAAACAACTCAATCACATCGTCATCTCCTTCCAGTTAAAGACTGGTGGAACTGTCTGATGCAAACCTGCTGTTAGTTTTCTATTGGTTTAATTTGAAGGTGGGTGGGACTATCTTTGGCAAAACGGCCAATCCAAACCAGTTACTCATGTCTACCTTGTGATACTTACCCCTTCCAGAATAATAGCCTTTTGTTGATTGAGTTAGTATTTTTAAAATTATCATTTGAAGTTGGTCAAACCACTAATAGAAAAAACTTTTACATGTAGTCCATTTTTTTTGTATTCATTATTTAAACATTGTTAAATGTTTAGCTTAGATGCTAAGATGCTACATGCTACGGTGCCTCATGTACAGCTCTGCTTGTAAGGAGTTTTTTATTATATTTTTTAATTCAGAATAAATAGTTTGAAATGGAAGTTTTTCACTATTTTAGTGGACTTACTGAAACCTAATTTAGCCGAAGTTCTTAACTGTTTTCAAAGTTACCAAAAAAAATGAATGCGCTAAGAAGCTAGTTCTGCTATTAGCGTATTTGCAGAAGTGTGCCCACCCCTGGGTATGAGTTTCAGCTACTACCACAGCAAAATTTAGTAAAATTATCTGAATTATTGTGTTTTCAAAATGAGTTAGCTGTGGCAGTCATCTTTAACTGGGCTGACAGATTTTCAACATGTTCATTAGATATTTTGCTCATGGAAAGGCACACAGAGTTGTAAACAAAAATATTATCATTTGCCTTTCACCTTTCACAAGCTAGTGATAATTAAATTGTTTATAATTCGCCAAAGTAGACTCAGTGGTTTATAATGTTACATTAAAGCTGCACCAATAAATCACTTAAATTCTTCACATTCTTCCTGCCTCTACAGCACTGTGGCTTTAAATGCATTACTCCAGTTTCATTTATACCTTCGCTCTCGTTGTCATTTTCAAGAAACTCTGAGATTTTTTGTTTTAATGAGAAATTCCGGGTGCGGTGGCCCTAAGGTGACAAAGCACAATAATCCTGAAAGATGTGGTGTTTCATAAAAATAAAAAAACACACAAACGAAACTAAAGTTCTGGGAGAAGAAAATAACAAGTTGGTATTTCAGCCTTCTCTGTAACCTTTATAAATAATTTATACAGCAAGATGTTGCRTCTTTCCCCAAAAGTTTGTGGTTCAATGAGTTTTCTTGGCTGCCATATGTGGAGGCAGCAGGATCAGAGTCAGTGACTGAAAGGATAAAATAATCCAAAGAAAAAGTTGTCTTTTTTTTCAGAGTCTACCTTTGAGACCCTGAAACTGACTGTGAAAAGTAAAATGTTGCACAATCTGCTAAACAGAAATCAAAAGCACCATTACAAACATAAAACTGGTCAAAACACCAGGTAATCTTCTGTCTTTCAGCTGCAGGGAGGACCCTGATTTATTTTGATGAAGCTGTGTGTGTTTTTTCCAATAAGYATTGTGCAATGTGCTTTTTCTCGTTGAAACTTCTGTTTGTTAGAACAAATTAAACTTATGTCAATAAGTTTTTTTCACCATTTCTTCTTCTTAAAGGAAACATTAAAAAACACAGGAGATTGACTCTTCAGGCACTTGTTCCTCTCTTAATGAAAGTGGTGATTTAAAACACATTTTTGACTTCAGAACTAATGAGTTCATTGGTTGAAAATGGTTTCTAAATGTCCTCTTCATAAAGCAGTTCAACTTCATCCTAAATCTAGTTTTGYAATTTTTATAAATCAATAAATGGAAAGCTGAAAAAGACTAGAACACAGTTGAATACAAATATGTCTGTAAGATCATTAAAGGCATTACAGATATGATGAACTGAAGATGGGTTTTTGTACAGTTCATTAGTTCAAATGAAAGTATAGATTTTTTGTGTATCAATGAGTCCTGTATGAATAAAACCTGTTGTGTCCTTAGAGCTGCTGAAAATTACATTTTTGAAGTAATATTTTAGTATTTTGTATTTTTTTAAATGTATGTATAGACCTGGACCTGTATTTATCAAACTTCAGTGTCGAAAAAACCATCGGTTTGAGAGAGGAGTAAAAGAAGCCATTTTTGTGAAGAAAGACCGTCCATCATTAAACAGAGGTGGAGGCCTCCGTTTTCAGTTGTCCCCCTCCTACAGTGCTGCTATTGCCAGTATCACTCCACCCCCTGTTAACAATAGGTGTTAATTAGGTGTCAACGATAGCCATGTGATGTGAGTATCAGTCACATGGAGGCAGTGCTTAAAAGCCTGAATTTTGCCTGAAACTCTCAGACTGAAGAAGTCTCTTGGAAGAGAGACGAAACATTTCATTAGAGAAGAACCCGTCCAGAAGATCTATACAATTTTTTTCTTTTTTCATTAAATACGTTGTTTAATTATCAAGAACTACTATCAAAATGAAAACTTGGGTCTTAATGTTACATGAACACAATAATCTGAAAATACTGAACAAGTTTGCTGTAACATCTACAGTCTGCTGACTGTAGTATAAAAATATTGATAATTTGATTTTAGTATCGATACTAGAGCATGAGGTTTTGGTATCAATACTGAATGTTTACTATAAAAAGTTTACTATTTAAACTCAGCTCATACACCGATTTATATTTTATATTAAATAACTACTGCAACCACTTAAAAACTTCCAAGGTTATATTATCTGTGACACAGTAATCAGGCTATTTAATAAGCAATAAACTGTCTTTTCATAAAGCATGTTTAGCTTTGCAAGGAACTTCTGTTGGTTTTTCATTGAGACAAAACGGCTGTCGTTGAGATATTTTAGTTTTTCAGGCTAAAGCATCTGTTTGCATTTGCATAAAACTCCCTTTTATCTGAATTTAACCAACATTTTTGAAGCTCTGACCTTAATTTGCTAGAAGACGCAGTCAAACTAAATGTTGCTGTTTTTTTATATGAGGTATAAACATTGAAAGGTCATATTAAGATGCTCCTGCTTTTYATTTATTACTCTGTAGAACTGTGCACACGGTGTTCAAACACCTCAGCAGCTACTGTATGAGCTTTTTCACTTCCCAGAAAATCTGTTTAGTTCTTGTTCCTCAACTATTTTAAGAGTGTAACGACCAAAACGGAGTGGCRAGTGTTCAACAGACCATTCAAAATTATTAAAAACTACATTTATAAGTAGTTTATAAGTAGTTTTAACAACTTTTGTTCCCAAAAGTTGTTAAAATTCAGCAGATGTTKGACAGCGCCGCTCTGAAAATCAAACTGTGTGAAAAATGGGAGAACAGGTGCTGTGTGCAGCTTCGCCACGGTCCGACTCAGAAACCCAGGAAGCTGTTTTTTTTTCTTCTTCTCTATTTGTTCTTCAAACACTTTTCTGAGCTACTTCAAACATGATCGCTGAGCGATGCAGCAGGGGAGGAAGAGAAGCGATTTTTCCCTGTTTTTTTTTTCCGCTTTTTTTTTTGGATGAGTAGTTTTACATATTTTACCTTGAAGAGAAGGGAAGCAGTTTGTGCTGCAGCTTGTTTGGATGAGCAGCATGTGTGTGAGTGTTGTTCGTCGGATTAGTGAACAGATTTGCGCCTGTAGTCTGTGTGTGTGAGAGTTGTCTTGAAACATCAGCTCTGTTTTTATCATCCTTTTTGTCTCTACTCATTTTTCAAACAAACTTCCTCCTCTMGAGTCTGCAGGGTTTGAGGAGGTGTAAACTTTTTAAATCTCACTGATAGAGCTGTGCATTCATCCCAACTGCCTTAAACCTGTTTGTTTTTTTAGAAATAACATTTCTTTTTGAAAAATGTTTTGGGTTGACAGGTTGGTGTTAAAGCAGCAAACCATCCATTTACAGGTACTGTGTGTCAGTCAAATGTTACTTTACTGAAAGCTGAGCTGTAGAGGGCAAGGACTGCTTCTTGTTTCTATTAAATGTAATATGTGTGAGTGTGTGTGTGTGCGCGCTCCCCCGAATAAAAGAAATAACTTCTCATGGCATGCCAGATTGTTTTTTTTATGAAAATTTAACAAATGTACTGTAATAACGACCATTATAGAGTTTAGAAATCTAAAAGTAGTGCACATTTATATAAGATTGTTTTCAACAAGCATTTTTGAGGCACATAAAACAATTTGATAGAAACATTTAACACATMTGCAGTTTTTAAAAACTATAAAGTTGCTTGCTTTGTTCTTTTAGTTTGTTGGATTTTGCTGAAAGTGGGTAAACAGATCACACAGATTAATGTCGAATTTCTGCTGAAAAAAAAACACACACACACACAACACACAAAATAATGACAATGTATCTGTTTTTAAATTCACATCTGTAATAACCGATATGTAATTTGTGGCATTATAATTTTTTTTTCTTTTTTTAGGATGGCGGCAGTCCACGAAGTCTTCCTACTCAGACAAGCCACTAACTTTTCGATCTGGTTAGAATTAGACTTTATTCTTCCAAACTGAGTTTGGTCATCTATTACAGGTAACATATTATTGGTTCATAATCTTTCCACAGAACCTCAGTTCAAAAGATCTGAGCTAATTCAAAACCAGAGTGGTTTATGATGCTRGCACGAAGGCAAACAAACTTGTATTGGATAACATTCATGTGGTTTCCCAGAGGTCAGAGTCCCTGTGTTCCAGTGTAGATCCAGAAGTATCTTGCTGGTTTGGAGCCAGTGTATCACTGTTTAATCCTTACAGACAGCAGAAAGCAGGCGCTTCAACATTGGCACCCTTGAAACAAGAGCTCCAGCCTTTGAGACTGTCCAAACATGTCAAAGTAGTTTTTGACTGTGTGCTGCTCAGTAAATATCCCASGAGACATCTTGGCTTGAAGCAACAACACAAACACAAGTGCATTAATGAAAATCTTGCACAATCACTTAACATTCGTCACATTTGATGGAAATGACAATCCTCTAACTAATGTCCCAAATTTGAGCTCTACAGCTGCTAAATTAACTGAGTTACAGACAATTTTTATGGAAAATCATATAACCACCCACTTTTTATGGCAGTGTACAAATGGGAAGTGAATTTAGAACAACTTTTTCTTTTGTGCATGCTCTTCACGACGTTTACGGCTCCAGAGCTAGAATGTGGTTGAATTTTTAAAAGTGGAGCTACGAAAAGTCAAATTGTCTGCAGTGAGAAAAAAAAACATATTTTGCTCCAAACCTCCTCCATTCTACAGTGAGAATGGGCCTCATGCAAGAACCGTTGGTACGCACAGATTTGTTCTTAAATTGTGCGTACGAGTGATTTAGGATAATTTGTGGCATTCACCAATGTTTTCGTATTCCACGATTTTTTTCAGATACGAACAAAATTTACGAG